TGCATGAAGTAAACCATTCGATGATTCACGAGCACCAGATTCACTCGCTCAAGAGTTCCATAACTCGGTGACAAAAGAGACATTGGCATGTAAAGGCGAGTTCTTGCCGTACACTAATAGGTCTTCAGTGTAAAGAAAAACAAGCAAAATCAGTACCCTAACACTTTCTTAGCTATAGATTTGTGGCCCCGTTCATTTTGTTGCTTATTCTGCAGGTTAATTTCCAATTCCATAGTATTAGAGATTTTAGGTTAAAAGGTTTCAATACGTGGGTTGTATGCACATATTTGAATTATTATTAGTTGCAGCAGGTGGTGGCGATGGCTTCTCATGATTAGTTCCTCCTTCGCTTTGAACTCCGTTGTAAGAGAGAACATACGTTTACGATTTGTCTTACGTTGTTTAGTCCATGGGATTTTTGAGTTTCGTAAACAAATAAGCAAAATACTTTTCACTTATACATTCAAAGGATTTCTTTCATTAATTGGATTTGTAATTGGAGATATTTTGTGGAAGTAGGACGAGACAGTGTTAGTACCTAAGTTGGGGGTCTTTGATGACTGAGGTGAAAGAGAACTTTAATATTTTTGTTGGATTTGTTATGACGTTAATTATCTCACAGTGGATTTGTTAGTCTTTTTTAAGGTTAGAGAATTGATTTACGTGTTGATTATGGAGAAGATCAATTGTGTGTTGATGAATCATTTTTTTGTAGGAATAGGTGGATTAATTGTTAGTTGAAATATAGAAGAGAAAAAGGTAAGCCATAAGATGCCCACTCATTTTTCATACGGATGGGGCTTCGAATGAAGAAAAACTTGTGGTGGGATTGGGTTAGACTTTTCATACGAAAGAGGCTGACTCCTCCACTCTGAACTTAATCGACCAACGCGCTTAGACTAAAAATTATGTCAGCTCACCCCTTATGGCCGAGGCCCTCGCTATGCGGTTGGCTCTCTCAAAAGCAAGAGACAAAGGTTTTTCAAAGATAAGCATCCATTCGGACTCTCAAGCCTTAATCGGAGCAATCAACAATGCAACTCCACTCAAGGGAGTGTTCGGAATAGTACAAGACATCCGAAACTACTTACCCATGTTTCTTTTTACTCACTTCCGCTACGTACACTGAGTTTTCTTCTTATAATGGAAAAAGTAACTGTTGAACGAAAAAAGAAATGCTCAGTCAAGGTTTGCAAATGTCAAGGATGATTAAATCATTGATGTCAAAGATGCTAACCGAATTTATTCGGCAACATTACATACAAACCGGATTTTTCCATAGGTAAACTTAATTGAACTATAATTTTGTTCAGTTGTGAGGGTTTAGACTCATAGCGTTTAATACTCCATAATTTACTAAATTTTAATTTGCCTTCATAATTCTACGTACATTTAGGCTCACATAATAGAGTTTAGTATCTCTTAATTTGCTAAAAAGATATATTTATAATTCGAACATAAATAGAAGTTATTTATATAAAACCTATATTGGATAAAAAAAATTATAAATCCACGTTTATGTGGATAAATTTAATTATTGGAATCTTAACGTCCACACCAGGGCATCCACTAGATATATGTCAATAACATTACATACGAATTAAAAAATTTCATAAATGCACTGAACTGAATCGTAGTTTTATTCAAGTTCTTTCTGCTAGTTTAGGTAGAATATTTCTAATCCATAATGTTTACCTTAGTATTTCCACAAGAATCAGGTGTCAGCACTTCGAAGAAGACAACAATGGGACACCCCTTAAAAAGTATATTCAGGCAACCTAATCAATAGGAAAAAAGAGTTTCAACCCAAGTATTTTCAAGGGAAAAGAGAAACATATGGTGGCAGTAGAGTTTGCAAAAGTTTCTAAGATCCGACATGGACTTGTGGGAAACTAGGATAGATATCGGTGATGGATTGTTTAACTCACCTAATGATGGTGAAATTAAGATAGATATACCTGAAGATCTATTAATTACCGAATGTGAAAATCCGGTCGAGGCAATGGTAACTGCGATTTATCATGATAAATACTCTGATGCGTGTTCTGTTTTGGGTTTGGTCGATGATGATTAGTATGTCCATGCAATCTTTGAAGCCGTTAGATAGTCTACCGAAAATGTGATCAATGATTTCGAATTTATTATTTCAGATACTCTTTGTACGGAGATACTCTTTGTACGGGTCAATGTAAGAGGATTATTGTTGCTGTCCGTCGTGTCTTGGCATGACGTTTATAAGGTAGCTTTGGTTTGTCACAAAAATTTAGTTTTCTACCTTTTGTTGGATATTATGTTTAACCGTTATTTTGTTTTGATTTTTCATATCTCATATATGATATATATGTCATACATTTGAGTTTTTTTCCCAAGATTACTTCTCTTATTTTGTTCTGAGATCATTATCCAAGATTACTATACACTAGTAAATGTTTATATCAGATAAAAACCAAACCAATATACCACAACTAGTTTTGAGATCTTAGCTTGAAGTTTGTGACAGTTTCAAAACCTGATAAAAGCATTCACTATAGGAACACATTGAGTAGCAAAATATGATAAGTCTACAAACTGCAAAAGAAAACGAACTAAAAGACAACAGATCTTGCTAGGGACTTGACTAGATGAAAATTCCCAAAACAAAAGAAGATGGAGATGTGTTCTATTTGAGATGAGCAAAACCCTTTGTGATGATGATCACATCTTTGAAATGTTGGAAGAAAATTAGTGTTTCTACTTTCCACCACCATTGATAAACCCTTCTTTTCGGCCTTCAAAGCCAGGACGCAGGAGCTTCTTCTCCCTCTTGGCGATTTTCCGCAACTTATTCTGTTCAATCCTATCCGCGATATTCCCTGATCTCTTTTGCTGCTTCTCAACCCTAAACTTTTGTTGCCCTTCAACTCTTTCCTTCCACTTCTCTGCGTTCTTCTCGTGCTTCTTCTTTTCTTTGTGGATGCTTTGCTTCAATAGCTTTGGGTTATCATGAACCTTTATACCAGCTGCTCTGCTTGTAGCTGCTTGCCATGAGTGCTTCTTTGCAATTACTTCACCTTTTTCTGGATCCTTCTTTTCAGCCTCTAACTTCATAGCCCTTTCAAGCTCTTTGGCCTTGGAAAGCCTACGTTTCTTTTTATCTTTTCCGTGTTCATCATCGTCGTCAATCTTGACATAACCAAATGTAAGGTCCTTAGCAGCCTCTTCCACTTCCAACTTACCCTTACCTTTATCTGCTGACTTATTCTCCTCCACAGTCTTATCCTCATAAACTGTGTCCCTATTTCTCTTACTTGGCAGCAACCTCTTCCTTGGTTCATGGCTTCTTTCTGAACCTCCACGACCACCTTTAAGCTCATCAATTTTGCGGTGGAGACGTTGTCTAAGCTCCTCATACGTAACAGAGTCATCCCTTTGAAAACCAGCAGTCCTAGGCTTGTGGTTATCTGTTTCCTCCTCACTGTCATCATCATCAGGAAGCTCATTACTCAATTTCTCCTTCTCTATCTTCAGCTTCAGTAAATCCAGTGTTGTCAATGCAGACTTGTCTGGGTCCAACCTATCTCTCCTCGCCTTCTTTAGATTTTCGTTTGTTTTTTTCTTGGCTCTAGCTTTTTGAGCCTTGCTAAGACCAGGAAACCACTTCCTTTCTGTCTCATCAGGTAAGTAGAATCTCGCAGGGATGAGCTCTATCAACTTATCGAAAAATTCAGCATGCTCATGAGCCATAGATTTGATATCCAATTCAGAATCAAGTTTCTCCTTTTTCTTTGCCTTCTAAAACAATTGCAAAAAACCAATCACAATCAAAAACAATGCCCTTATGGAAAAATGACAAATAATAATCTAAGGGCTCATAGTCACTCTCAGAAGCTAATAACACATCAAGACTAACAATGGCAGATTAACCGGATATTAGATATAAAAGTTATGACGACAAATTAGATCGAATTATCAACAGTTCTGGGGATATCAAAACTTACATTAGTCCCACGGATTTTAGTCATTGCTCTTCCACACAGGAGATTATACAAAAAGTAGTAATCTTCAGGACAAAGCTGCAGCAATAAAACAGAAAATATTACTAATTGTGAAAGATTCAAAACATCAACAAACATACATATCTCTGATGATACATTAAACATAGCTAAAACAAAGCTTTTACAGACACTTTAGGAATTGCATGCATCTTGTAATAATTGAGAAACTCAATGAATCACAAGAAATGACACAAGTTTACTCATTTACTAATTATCAAATTAAAAGAAGCTCACAAAGGAAAACCTTCGACAAGATGACTTTGCAGAGACCATTAACCAACACAAACAAATCAAGCAACTATGCTTATTCGTTATACTCGAGAGAAACAGAAACCCTAATAAATACACATTCAGAAACTTTCCCCAGTACAATCAGCTTTATACAAGAAATTGACTAAATGCAGGGTG